TTGTAAGGTCGTCACTATAAAGCTCGAGACTAGACCGCGTGAATTTGCATTAATTATAACGACCGTATGAGTTACATTTTTGTGAAAATTAGATATCTACAAAAAAGAACGAAGAGAATTTAAAGATAAAATAATCGGAAAACGGACGCGAGTAATTTTTTTGAGAAAATGAGAGGAAAGAAAACAGGAGATTAAGGTCCAAAATTATCAAATCCAGAATTTAGAGGGAATCTCGAAATGTAGATAAATTCAGTTAATAGATGATGTCGGTTAAATGAATCTTTTTTTTTTTTTCATGATCGGAAAAGACCGTATAAGTGCACAGGGACGGCATCCATGTTTTACAACGATACTTGTATGTCCTAACTATACTTATGATTTATGACGGGAGCCTCGCCGAAATGATATATCTGTGAAATAATTTTCCATATCCATTTTCGAGCTAGCGATATAACGTTTAGAACCTCTTATGTTAAAGTTGGCGTTTGACGTTGTTTTGCCTTCCTGCAATCTGAATAAATGCACTAAATAAGAATATATCGTTTATTTGTTACAACATGACTCAAATATTGTCATTTTTTAGTTGCTAGCAAAAAAAGAAAGAGAACATAAATAAAACAAAAACACACTTTTATTCTTCTATAATCAGTTTTTATAAATCATGTTTTTATGCTAAAATTGCATTTAAAAATTGATATTAAAATTTTAACGATTTAAAACATTCAAACTGCTTTTCTAGAAAACTTTGTGTTTTTTTATTTGTGTCGTTATAGCAAATGAACGATTATATATGTTTTATGAGAAATATAAATGATTTCCAAACATAATGAATAACAATTTTTAAAAAATACAACCAGTTATATTGCTTTGTTATGCTGGATATTTTTATTACATTTGCTGTTGTCTTTTTTCTATTATTTTTGACCTTCTTCTTCGTCTTTTTCTTATCGGGCCTTTGTGTTATCGAGAACATTAGTTATTTCACTTCGTATCAGTACCGTATGCAAGCGTTCGGGGAAATCAGGATGTCGCTGATACGCGAGAGAAGCGGCCAGACAGGTATGCCGGTCATATGTACATATACGTATATATACGTACGTACGGAATCTTATCTGCGGCCGTGGATTATCGAATTTCCGAGCGTTAGATTAGATTTCTCGGCGACCGCGCGCGACTCAGCGCACGGCTACGCTGGTTTCTGAAAATAAACGCGTACGAGAGGATACCGCCGTCATCGTCGCCAGTACTCCTCCCGGCTCCGTACATAACGTGTGTCGCGCCTCCGACGTACGTGCACGTGTACATAGGGTGTATGTACAGTGTACACGGGGTGACTCGAGCGTACGCGATCTCGCGAAGGCGCTTGTTAATTTACCAGAATTATCTCGGCGCGAGCGGAGGATATATTCGAAAAGTAAAGAGCTCGAATTTTAATGGCAGACTATCTGAATTAGAGCCAATCTACATCCCGTAACGAGAATGTCGAAAAGAATTGCCATCCGTTAGCAATTTTATTCCAATTTTCAACATTGAATATCTATCGCGATTAAATCTCGAGCTAAAATCTTGTGGGAGTCCACTGTAGATTGAAGGAGGATTAAATTATCGGTGCCTCGACAGTGGTGCTTGAAAAAAAAATTCAACTTGCGATTTCGAGACAGATTAGAAAGGGACGATAAGCGCCGGAGGAGCAAAACGCGCGGAAATTCAATTTTATTCGTTACAGGGGTAAGAACTTGGATCGTTCGATTTTCAGTTATGATGTAGACTGCTCTTACGAGACAGTTGTATTACTAGGTAGTAGATGGACGAGTTTAAAAAATTCGACTGCGATTAAACTTTATATTTACAAAGTTCAATTTATAATAAATATTTTAACTTTTTATAATGCAAAATAATTAATTGTATTTGAACATATCGTGATGTATTTGTTAAAAAAAGAATTTTTACTATTATTATTTTATTATATCTAACTGATGAATTTTATGTTTTTTATGATATTACTGATATCTTTATTAATATGAGAAATGTCTTCAATATTGAAATTGGTTTTACTTTCATAGTAATGCTAACATAAAAAATTATGAAATAGATTTTTAAACTTATTATTGATATATTCTCTTACTAATCTTTTTCTGTCTTTTTATATATTTCTCTCTTTACATCCTCTGTGTAATAGAGTAAATGCAAGTTACTCTAAGTAGGCTAATCTAGGATCTGCTTTAGCCTTCTTACTGCAGAAGATTAGTTCAAATCCACAGAAAGCCGATTAATATTAGAGAATTTCAATTAATGATACAAACGATAAAGAATATGTAATATTATATTTTGTTTATTAAAATCTATAAATTGCTTATTAGAAATTTATTATTGTATATTTATACATGTTTAAAAATTCGATATATAATATTAATTTATGGAAAGGATCGGTGTATTAAATTTGGTTATTTTGATGAAATTGAAGTATAATTTGAATTCAATAATAAAAATTTAAGAGTGAAAAAAATATATAGACATAAAGAGTAATAATTTATTACATATATTATACATACTATTATCTGTAATTTTTCACCGATTTTTACTCGTTTTACTGACTTTTCCTGACAATTTTCCGGATATTTATAGATGATAATTTTTCGTTCGTGGTGTTGTATCTGTACCTTGATTTTAAAGAGGCGTTGCGAGCAAATTGACAGATGACGTTTTAATAGGCGCCGGACACGTGTTATAACAGAGGACGGATAATATTACACCGTTAAAAACCAAAGCATCAAGCAACCCATTGAAGAAAATGTTAATGGACAATATAATCAATCGATTAATATTTTTTCACAAATTGAAATAAAACAGAAGAAAATATTAATTGAAGGAATTTCTAATTATTGTCTTATTTTTATTTAAAAACCGGGTACAAATAAGTTCTTTCCTTAATTGTAAAATGCACGCAGATTAACGTTATATTTTGGAATGGTGTTTGTGATTAACGCGATGTAATGTCAACAGATGATCTTCCGTTTTGATAATCATCTTACAATATTAGTGATACAGTTTGTATTAGATGCTTGTTAGGAATTTCAAAGTAGTTCCCTAGACTATAGTTTATCTATGGTGCGCCAATTACAGGTGTCGAGCCTCGGAGCGTAAACTCCTTTATTGTGGAAACTAGTGCAGCTTATTGTTGTAAAATACACATGCAGTCTCGCTGCAATCAGCAGCAAATTTTCACGTGTGTGTGCAGCTTTCCGTTTACCAAGTTACCTAATGTTGTCTTTAAATTATCAATGAATCCACTTTACCGTCTTGTGATTTGTAATTCTCATTGCTAACAAAATGACAATTAAAGGACTTGCTGCAACAGTGAGTTAATCCATATTGTATAAAAGTGGAGAAAATAAATTTTAAAGTAAAATAAATAAACTTTAATGTTTATTTTTTCTCCGATTTTATATACATGTATATTATTGTATATATACAAAATGTGGATTAGCTTACTATTGCAGTAAGCCCTTCAATTATAGATATGTTATGACATTCTATTGTTAGACATTTTAGAGATTTATTTTGAAAAATCTATCTTTTATGCAGGATGGTCGTGTGCTAAATCTCGATTTATATTTATCAACAGTATTTTTTTTTAAACGTGCGAAACGAATTGCCACGATACAATGGCAGCTTTGTGACATAACGTTTGTCGGATAGCGATTTGACGTTCGTCCGGCACGGCCGCCGCACAGTACCGAAATGCGCGATGTCCGATCATCCGGGCGAGGAATGGCGCTGCCAGAATTGTTGAATCGGTCTTGTAGATCCGTCGGAATTCGAACCTCGTCATTAATTGGAGGACGACGCCGTCCGTGCGGCGCTCTCCCGGGTTACGCCACACTCCGACGGGCTCTGACCCACTTTCCCACGAAGCTCTCCTTTCGCGCGGAATCCACGCTCGAACTTTCCTGCGTCGTTAAGCCCATGTGACTAGTCGGACCGGCCGAAATTGATTGTGACCCAGGGAGCACGTTCATTTGGAGAGAACGGCGAGAGGAAGAGAGAGAGAAAGAGAGGAACCGTATTCGTACTCGGCGAGTTCGTATTTAATCAAGTGGAGAGCGGCACCGGGCAAACGAGATGGCGTGACGCTTTTGCAATCCGGAAGTGAATGTTCCACCACCGGGTGTTCACGCGCGTGTTCCGCGAGCTTGTCGCGCTCACCTGTTCACGGGAACTCTCGTGAAAATGAGCCATACATACCGCGAAACTGTTAATCGCTTTTCTCTCTCTTGCTTTCTCCCCGCGTTTACTTCACATGCAATCCGAAGAAATGTAAATGAGAAGAAAGACCGGGTAGAGGCACGTCCGACCGGATCGGGAGAGAAATAAACGTTGAATCTCGTGCGAGGTGTCTATCGATCCCGCTTTCCTGACTATTCCGGGTATTTCCTAATTATTTCCCAGATTCATTATTATTTAACGCAATCTTGTTTTTTTCCTTGGTTCCTCCTTCCCGTAATGAAGGATAAAGCGAGAGACAACTCCCCTGGGTGCGTACACGCACGCACGTGTCACCCCGATAACTATTTCCGGCTACTTCCGCGAACACGTTATTCCCGGTACACTTTGTCGCGGTCACTTTCTGCCAAATGGGTCGCTGGGCCGACAGGCTATTTACTTCGATTCTTCATCGGGGACGTTTATTAATAGATTTCACAAGTACTAATTTCTTTGTGAGATTTTTTCTTGTTTTTCGCGATTTCTCCTCTAAGGAAAAGTTCTCGAGATAAAATTATCTTAGTATTTAAGTTGTGCCGAACGATATTACATAATCTTTCTTAAGTACTGTCGCGTTCAGTTAGATTTAAATGCAAGATTGTCTTGAATCTTACATTACCACTCTGTTTATCAAATATTTGTCAAAAACCGTCCCATGAAATTTTCTATAATCTCGGCCTCGATGGCTGATAGCTCAATAACTCGATATGGTCAACAGGAAACATTTATGATTGCAGGCGGATCTGTCAGGGGGGAGATTGAACCCGGCTCGAACGAGCTCACACCTGGCAGACGGTCTGGCGGTGGCGGCGGCATCGGTGGCGGAGGCGGCGGTGGCGTCTTGGGGGTCGGCGGCGGTGGCAGCGGCGGCGGCGGCTCGGGGGGCCGCAGCTCCTCCGGCGGCCGCTCGAGAGACGAGCCGAGGAGGCACACCCTCGGCGGCGATCATCAGCCCTCCCTCCATCATCAGCAGTTCAACGCGGCGCAGCAGCTGCACCCCCTTCATCCGCATCATCTGCCGCCACCACACGGCCAGTACGGCACCCCGCCCTCGCGGCACACCACCATGGATCTCGAGGTGAATCTTTGCTCGCGCAACATGTAAATACACACATACTTATTGTTTGCGATGATCGCTCTCTCTTAAATCTCGATTTTCTCCTCTTCCCTGCTCAATTTCTCAACGTTCCCGGCCCTTCTATCAAATTGCTTATCCTATCACCACAACATCAGCAGTATCTCCTCAAGCAATATTCAACTCGAGGTATATAACGAGAGTCTGCTCTGTCTCCCAAACTGTGACAAGCAGAGCCCTGTAAAACAGAGCCCTATATTTAGCTCTTTTTTCCTTCTCTTCGATTATGGCATGTAACTTTCATTTCGCGTGAATTTCGATGCGAGTTTTCACTTTCTATATTTTTGAAAATTTCTATATTTTATAAATCGATTAATTCACTCATTTGTTCGATTTTTATATGTGTGATGGATAATGTTAACTATTACACCTTCACACACAGATACATTTATATATTTTGTTTTGAGTATTGATGAAAGGGAATTTCTATATATATAATATGTGTGTTCGAAAAGATTTCATATATTATCTAAGGTATCTTTGTTTATCTTTATTATCTTTGTTTATCTTTACGTATCGTGTGTCGAAATTGTCTCCAAGACTTTCTTTTTTCTCCTTTTTTATGTCGATGTTTGAAATGATTCGACGTTTTCACAAGTGACTGAACGTTTTCCTTGCTATATGGAATGGTCTTTTAATGACATACATTGCATAAATAATTAAGCTCTTAGAGAAGTTTGAAATTAAAAAGAAAATGTTTCTAAATTTATGCTTTAATTATTACGCGTAGATTGAATAACGAATATTAAAATTTTACAAATAATACAATGAATATTAACATTTTACAAGTATTATAAATTTACATCTACGTAAATTATTTACTATGGCAAGTACTTTGTTTGTGCAATTCAATCTTATTATTATTGTAAGACATGATAAATTAGAAAAATATTTTGTCATCTACTCCTCTCATATTTCCGTCAAATCAGACGTGTAAAAATGATCCTCGATTGCATGAGCGTTATCGACGGCACTCCAGTTTCACTGGCGTCTCTCTACGTGCCGTTGAAATTTAGGATCGTCCACGTGTGCAACCGAGTGTGCTGCATGAGTGTGTTGCACCTTTATAAGAACAATGACACACCGAAGCAAAAAAATGCAAACCTTGCTTATATTTCATTTGACAAAGTAAAATCGCATTTTATTCGCGAAATTAAATTCTTACCGGCATATTATTTACGCTCAGGCAGTTTGATAATCTCAATAAACGCGAGTTGTTTCCCCCTTCTCCTCATAGTTTCCCAGGGTAATGGCAAACGTTCAGTTACCCGAAATATATGTATGTAACGTGCGCATCGTTCGCGCGACGAGGGAGAAAATCGCTTTCGCATCGAGGAGGGGCCGTACGGGAGCGCGCATTTTTCATTTTGAGAATGTTTCATTCAAGACAACCGCACACAGGTTTTCGCTCCATGCATCGCCATCGTACCGAGGGTCACCGTTTATTTATGGCGCACGTGAATGCATACACGTCTTCCGCTCCTCGTCTCGGGGGCTCCTTTCGCCCCCCGAAATTCCTCCCTTCTTTCAGCCCGCGTCAGAGAAAAGTACGTATATTGTTTGCTTTAGGAGCATCCGTCTTATAAGTTATACAACGTTCGCGTTTTTTGCGCGATCAAGCGTAACCTAAAGAATGCATCGTAAAACGGGGCAGAATTGATTCCGCTTTTCGTAACACAACAGGATAAATCGAAGTTTTTTTTTAGGGCTTTTTATGTGCACGATATTCTAAAATGTATGAATATTAAGCGTCATTTAGACACAAAAACGTTTTCGTTGACATTATAAATATAAAGAAAGACAAATGTAGGTGACATTTAAGTAATTATTATTTTCATTATTTGATTTGCATCCAACATAATTTGACGATACGCATTGGTGAATATATTATGTCAGATATGTCAACTATTTTTTGCTATCGCATTTTTTAAGTTTAGTGACAACATGTACCTTATATTAAAATGGCAAGTGACAATTATCTAATTGAGAATATCAATATAGGATATTGTCATGTTGATATGAGGAAAATAACAGAAGTAATTATCATTTTTGAGGTAATGAAAGGAAATCGATTCTTCGAAAACACTTTTTCTGGACGTGGCTTTTTATTCTCTTCTATCGCGTAATATACTCCGTGAGAATTGCGTGCATAATTAAAGTTTTTGTAATTGATGAACGCGGAAACTTATGACGTGATTAAGCTCTTATGACGTTATTGCAAAACTTTCACGGGATGCGTAATATGCGCGCCATAATACTATTAAACCTTTAAATAATAGATAAAAGATTACCTTATCGTTTGCGCGCTGTAATATTCTCGTGTATTAATTACTGGAAAATACTGTTAGCGAAATACAATTCTCTATAATTTATATGATATATTTGATAAAATTATTTATATATTATACGCGTTAATAATATTTAACGTATGCGTTTTAATACTGCAATAATACGCGTATTTAACGAAAATAGCGCACGCGTATTACGTTCCTGTATTACGACCTACTTTAATAACGGTCGAGTATCGTTTCATGCGATTAAAAAAAAAATTTTTTTTTTAAACCATCGTACGTTAACTGGGAAATATTATTGCAGTGCCCGCAGCTTATTACGGGTACCGCACGGTCAAGAACCGCGCCGGTAACGAGAGAGAGGAAGCAGTTAATTAATTATCATCCACCTACGACGACGTCCTCATTTCTTGCGCTCGTCGTTTCCGATAATTGAAGGGTACCGACACACCGAAACATAAATGTATTTACATAGTTTCCGTCCTCTTAACGTACCAGATTTCTGACTAATTTTTCTGCACTTTAATTACGTGAATGTTTAAACTTTTAAACGATAATCGCTTAATAACTGCGGGTAATATCCTGGGCTTTGCATCTTTAAAACGTTCGAACGCGAGAGCGGCCATTACGAATACATTGCGAATGTAAATTCTTTCTCTTTTTTGAATGAAATTTAATCGCATAAATTTAAAATAGTTACGTAAAGAAACATTACAAGAGGACGACAACGAGCTCTAAATAAGAAATATACACTGCGTTTTGTCACTATAGTGGACGCAACAACAAAACTAAATTACATGAAAAAAAGACATACGCGCATGAACTTACAACTTTGACCATTCATCGAGAATAGATTATCAAATACTACCAAACAATCACCAATCGAGTGATAATGGTCGTTAATGGATTTTTAGTAGTGGGCGAGTCAACTTTGTACAGCTAAGCTGATAACCTACGCACATTCCATGTGTGAATAAATTTTTCTTTGCTGTTTATTTATTTATTTTTGAGCAGCATTAAACGTAACTGACATTTAGAGACTCGTTAAATTTCAACGCTTCGTACAACGCGCTCGAAAGATCTGAAGATCGTGGCACTCGTGTCGGGCGGATGTCGCACGATCGATTAGCTCCTGGCACGTGGTTATTGAGTATCTCCTCGGGGTGTCTCTGCGGTTTGTAGGAGATAATCGAACTCGGGGCGCAGGTGGTGCACATTCGAGATAGCGGGTGCGAGCGTTACGTCATCGTGTTCGCCCAGCTCTGCCATTAATTGGCGACCCGCTCGATTTCATAGCGCGCTCTGTTGCGATACGACGCGACGTGATTTCACGAAAAATAAGATTGCGCTCCAAATCACGAAATTGCGCTGCTCAAAACGATCGCGAGATCGCTTCTCCAATAGATCATATTGCCGAATGAACCGTGAGGACCAACTGAAAAAGTTGACTGTGTTTGTATCTAGAAATCGAATATAAATCCAGCAATCTCAATTAGCAAAACAAATTAAATATTAAATAGTACGATGTTATTGCACTGAAATGTTTAAATGTTACAAACGGAAATCTGCGACAGACAATTCTTTCTGTTGAGGAAAAAATTTAAATTTAGTAGATAATATTATTTTAGATAATATGAAAATATCTATATAATATATAATAAATATACCGCTATTTTTAGGAAATGTTAAATAATTATGTTAAATAATTGCATTGTCCACGAGATAATTGTTATAAGCGTGATAACATTGTGTATCTAATATGAGTTTGTGTGTTGAAATCAAAGAGCCAGTAATCACATATATGATAAAAGCAAGCAAGCGAGCTCAGCAATCTCGCTTTTTTCCCTATATACATATGTATAAATATACATATATACATATATCTCTATCCCTCTGTTTAGCTCGTCGCGCACAATGACCCTAACCCTTCGTTATAGTTATGCATTCACGTGTAACGGGTACTCGGTTTTTTTCCCTTCTCTCTCTCTCTCTCTCTCTTTTATTCTTTTTGTCTTTTCTACCTTTTAATCTCTTATCTGAAAGCGTTGCCAACATTGTTGCAGATATTTAACACGACTCCCGTCAAACGTGAGTTGCGTATGTAGATATTGCATATCATATAGTGTCGACCTTTTGCAGTCCTCCCGTCACTTTTTACTTTACAACAAATGCGATAATGCAGCTGCGTAACAAATCAATGTGTCGGAAATAAGGAGTACCTTCAATCGCGTTTTCTCTTTTATGTATATACCGTATATGTATATACATATTTTACATATAACGCACAGGAAATAACGGGAAACTCCGTACAAGGAGCAGAATATAATTTAAATTCACTGCGAATATTTATTTTCAAATACAGCTGCTATTAATTACTTTTGTACGTAGTATTTCTCAACGGCAACAGGGACGAAAATCACCGTTTGTATGTCCAGATATATTGCATTTACACATTTTATTTTGTTTACATACTGTATCGTATTTAGCAAGTATATACAGCCTTGGCTATATAAGTATAAAACACACGTACAAATTGATATAAACGTCGATATCTGACAAAAAATAATTAAAATACAATTTTATTGATGAGCGAGAGGTACTCTACATATATTTCCATATCTCCAATACTAATACAAACATAATAAATATAACCCTTTCTTATCTTGTAACACAAATTACATAATCGTACCTCTCATAAAACATCTCTCATAATAATCACCGCGTATAAGCCGCGAGGAAAAAGGAAATTGACATTTTAGAATACGACAATTACCGGTTTACGAAGCGTGATGACGTTACGCGGGAAATAACAATTCGATCATTGCAAGCGCTTCGGCATGCGCCTCCGAAAACCGAAAAACGTTTCGTGGAACATGTTCCTATTACGAGCAGGAAGCTGCTACCTATGTACCGCAGTATTTGCGGCCGCAATTTACGCTCGAGTTACACGACTGACTTGTCAACGAGGAACAGTTCGATCGCCAGTGATCGGCGCTCTCTTACTCCCCTCCTCGACACGATTGTTTCCGGCCAATTGTCGATTTTTTGTTTTTTTTTAAATCTCTCTTTCTCTCTTCTCCTCCTCCCCCTTTTCTACCCTGCAACGTATTACACATCTAACTGGTTTTTACTTTGTGTGTGTGTTTCCGTGTTACCTGCCGTGCCGCCGACAGATGGGGACCAAGTCTCGCCAGAGAAAGGTAATTTTTGAATTTTCATGCTTTTCACGCAAGATTGTCTGCGAAATCAATTTTTTCCCCCTTTTTTTTTTGTCAACGTGCATGTCAGCATGGTGACACGATCGTTTTTCTCTGAGTGGCATCTAATCCTCGAGCTATCACCGTGTGTCTAATTGCTCGCTCGGAAAATGTCTTTGTGAATGTATTTCACAGCGACAGGTAATAATAAAATTCTGAGTGATGTGACTGACAATGAGTTACGTAAGCTGTGAGATAGAAGAATTCGATCTTTTTACACTTTTGTGAGAAAACTCTCATTTGTTATACGATCAGTTATTTAAATGCGTTACATTTTTTGCAGTAATTTTATCGCGTATCTGTAATATCTTTTACGGTATAAAATATTAATTGAAATCCATTACGAAATAATCAAGCGCTTTTACGTATAAATTATGTTAAATTTGCAATTTTTATCACACAAATGCTCACAATTTTATTGGCTATTATCGATTAGCAAATAAATTTGTAAAAATGTATGTATTCGAATTTTAATAAATATAAATCGATAATAGACTAATTCGGTTTTATTAGAATAGAATTAGATACGTGCGGGAATGTCGTCTCTCTAAACACTTTAAGTGACTTGTTTGATGCTTTTTTCGCAAATGCCACTGATAAGCGATTCATGATACAATAAGAGGATCATAAATGAATCGAAACCTTACCGAGCTCGCGTGTTTTCAGTCGCCTCTTCCGCGTGGCTACCCACCCCCGTCTTCGACGATGCTTTTCGATGATGACCCGGGTATCATGTCCGAGGTGGAGACCTCCAGCACGGGATTTCGGCGAGGGGGCAAGCAAAGAAGCAGCCTGCCCGTTGTACGAACGCCCAGCAAGACTTTGGAGCGACCACTAGGTAATTCGTGATATATGGAACATAAATAAGCTAATAGAATAAAATTTATTTAAAAATTGATAATAAATATCTAAAACATTCGCAAAATTATTGATGTATTAAATTATTATTTTATTCTATTTTTTATATTTATTATATTTTACATTAATTTATTATATTTTCTCTTAATGTTTAATATCTTTTAAAATTGTATTTAAATCTGCTTGCTTTATTTTAAAGTTCCAAATAATAGACTAAAAAGAATATCGATATAATAAAATCTGAGTAGTAAAATATTAATTAATTTTTTATTTATAATATAAACAACCGTCGCATAAAGACGTACAAATCTGAAAGTTTGAAAATTAATTTTTAATCATTTTATGTAAATATTGTTTAGTCATCTGTATTGATATTGTTTCAAATATTGGCACTGTACTGATAAATGTATTTCTTTACTTTTTTAGGACTGGTGTTCCTGCAGTACAGGAACGAGACGAAGAGAGCATTGTTGCCGAACGAGATTACCAGTATAGACACCGTCAAAGCTCTTTTCGTTAGAAGCTTTCCGAAACAACTCACAATGGAATACCTGGACAGTCCTCATGTAAAAGTTTACATACACGACAGCAACAAGGACATGTTCTACGAACTCGAAGATCTAAGGTAACATTCTTATGCCATTATAAATATGTAATTCTTCTAATAAATTCCACCTTTTATACTCGAGCAGTCAAATAATATTTCGGAGAAATAACTCTGTTATTACATTTTGCTTACAAATAACTATTTTCTATTTATCATACAATCTGTTACATAAATATTCGCCATTGCGATGTTTCAGAAGCCTCATATAGAGTTGTTTAATTCCAATTTATTTAATTTTTGTTATGATAATTTTTCGTTCTCTTGGATAATAGCGAATTTTAATAAATAAAAGAGCAAAGGTTATTGCAGCGCGACATAAAAGTGATCGTTTTGCCTTTCAGATCGCACCTGAGAGATATCAGGGATCGCAGTGTCCTGAGACTTTTCGAGAGTGCCGACGGGGTGACGGGGATGCCAGGGCCCATGGGGGTGCCTGGTGGCGGTGGTGGTCTGCCTCCCCATTGGGAAGATCAGAGCTACTTCAGCGAACCGGAATTTGACAGCGAATATCAGCATCAGCACATTCACAAGAGCAAGGTAAGTGCACGTTAACAAGTCTGCGTCTTTAGTTCGTCGCTTTTATCCTTCTTCTTCGGAGACGAGATCAATTGGGTATTTTTTACTCAGTTTTTTATATACGTGACATCGCGTGCATTATTATGCAATATTATGTTTGAAAGATATCCTCTTTAGCCCACCGTGCGAAATATGATTACGAGAATTTGTCAATTATATTTTAGTACACAAATCGCTCATTGGATAGGATGCTGCAATAAAATCTTTTTTGTTAATTGAATATATGCGAATACCTAATATCGCATAATGGGGGGGGGGGAGAATATTTCTAAAATATTTATTTTATTTATATAAAGAGACATTTTTTTTTCTTTAATTGTGCATTTTCTGTTCATGAAGGACGTAATTCACACGATATATCCGAAATAAAGGACTTATAAGATATTCTTTATTTGAAAGTAAATGATAAATTATATTCTTTTTTCTGCGATTAAAATAATTGAATCAAACAAAAAGAAACTACTTTTTTAAGGAAATTTCGCGTGTTTATAGAAATAGTGTTTTTTAAGATTTATTAATTAGGAGTATCACATGTATGTGTGGAATATAAATTATCAATAATATTAGACGTACTATTTCGTGCTAGAAAATTTTCAATGACAAATCAAATAGAATATAATGCAACAATATATTATAAAAGTTTATTCGGTATACGTCACATGTACACAAAATACATACACCATTAAAGCTAAGTCTTGAGCTTAAGCGACCGAGGCGGTACGTTGCTTATCGATCAAGGCGGTTTCCGTCGCGCAATTAAGTTACCCTTCGTCTCGCCGGAGGTGAATCGATTAGCATGCACCTTAAGACCGCGATGAGTATTCTGTTAAAAGTGACCATCGTTATTCGTAATCAGTTTCTCGAACTTACAACATAATATTGCTCTCTTGTCATATTACATCGATGTTTTTCACTTCGTTTTTTCCTAATTAAATTCTAATCCCTCGGATTATCGCGACGTTTATCGTATATTTTTATTAGGGAAACTTTCGAACACTTGTGACAGTATCGACAAAGGTTTCAGTCGTTCTGTACAAATAAATCTATTAGGATTGTAATATCTTGAAACAAGTTTTACAAGATTTTTATAAATTATTTATATTTCGACGATAATTACGATTGCTTCTTGTCACAATTCACCTCGTACTCGCCCCTGTACTCTTGGAACCGAGACAGTACGTATATTCAAAATCGAGATATAAAACGTCTTGAAAATGTCTTACAGATGTTTTATAATATGATGTCTAAAAAAAATTTCTTATGTCTCGATTTTGGACACAGTACTGTCCCGGAAGCTTCAGACTTAATTGTCACACAGTTAATCGGACAGAGATTGCAAATAAATACGATCGGCAAGATGTTTTGTCAGGCGCAAGTTTTCTCATGGCAATATCGTTCGCATCTCCGAATGTTTGTACGATTTACGAAGACAGAACAAACGAAAAAGTATCATCGGAGCACGAGAAGAAGAATCAATGGACAACGGCGAGAAAAGAAATCGTAAGGTCGCGCGACAAACATCTTCGCCCGTAACAACTAAAGATACTCAGCGATCTATAACATGGCGTGGGGTACCTGGGAACGTTTCGTTCTCGAGAGATCGTCGATCTTTCGTCGACCGTTAATGTCGAAGGTCAGGCTAATATTTCATTTATCATTTGTATGACCATGTGCGTTGACTACAGACTAGAGAAGTCCCCGACGAAAATTTCTCGAAAATTCTCTACCTTACAGCCAACCAGTGCACTTGAAAAATTTGTCGTACGACAAATAAAATATTAGTCTTATTCGGAGCGATTCGGATTCTTTCGCGCGCGGACGCTCTGGAATAAATTCTGCGAAAATTCACGCGACGTCTCTGGAATGTCATCCTCGCGCGCGATTCGCCGCGTCGTCACGTCGCGTCGATCGGTTAGAACGCTTTACACGCCGGAATAGCCGGCATGTACAACGCGCCGGAATAGAGTTTTTTGGGCACGTCCCTCCAGCCTATGATCAGCGCCTTGCCGAACGGCTCCTCGGCGCATCCGTCGCAGAGGTCCATCACCTGCCTGACCTCCGCCTCGGCGGGCTCCCGCACGTCCTCCTCCTCCTCCTCCTCGTCCCTTCCCTTCTGGAGCCCGAAACCCGTCAATCCCGTGAAATAGTCGTTGTCCAGGCCTTGAGGAATGGAATATCCGTCATCGAGAATCGATCCGTCGCCCAATTGCAGCAGTCCTCTCTTCTTCTTCTTCTCGGCCTCGCGTTTTTCCAACTTCTTATCGTTCGCGTCCTCCGTTCTTGGCACGAAAGATACCTGGGAATTCGAGAAATGCGAGACACGTGAAGCGTTACGCGCTATCAGTTGAGCAAATAGTAATTTACAGTGTGTACGATATATGTACGTTTTCCTTCCTTCGCTCGTTTTGTAAAGAAAGAGGAAGAAAGCTAGACTTGTTTCCCGAAGCAATTTCGACTAGAAATTTATTGGAAGAAATTCAGATCGTATATTTAATTTAAGAAAATTAGTTGATCACATAAAGTCAAAAAAATATTGTCAGAATGTTTCGCACTTGGAAGTTTACTGAAAAGTTTACTCAGCGGAGAGTTACTCAGCGTGAAACAGAGATCTTTTCGATACAATGAAAAATCTTCAGGATCCTCGTACGCCGGGCAAGTCAAATACATTCACCGAGATTATTTCCACTTTGATTCTCCGTAAATCTTTTAATTTCTTACATTAAGTAGGTTGGAAACTGCTAGGTCGAAACTTGCAGTTTACTTCGAGAAAGATTCTCCCCGGATTACTTCACGGACGGACTGTGCGTTCAGATGTTTAAAGTACGAACATCGTTGTGTTGAAACGAAAAAGAATGTTCGCGAGGCGAGTTGAGGATAACAACGGGGAAAATAAAGTAAACGCGAAATGCACGAGATAGATAGAAAGAGGCAGAGATTTGAGAAGCTGTTCCATTAGCGCGTTCATCCTCGGATAAAAAACAGCTGCTGGCACGCGAGAGACTTAATCCAGACTTAATCGCGCTCACCTTATCGTCGGCATCACCGGCTTTCTCCGAAGTTTTCTCGGTGTCCCTCTTCGCGATCGATTTCTTGGGCTCGGTCAGACTCGATATCGCTGTCTCGTCCTTGATGTCCCGCTTCCTCGACTCGTTCTTTTCTCTCTTGAAGAGATTGTGATACGGCCCGTCCACGAAGATCGACGACGGGCCGGACGCGGGCGGCAACCGTTGCCGCGTCGGACTTCCGAATTGCGCCGATAGCGCGGGGAAGGGCGTCGTGAAGATGTCGAGATTCAAGGGCGGGAGCGGCTGCGGGGGCGACTCCGGGACCGGCGGTAATGCCGGATGACGAATGGTCAGGCCGTTTTGCACGATCTGGATCGGCGCCCCCGGATTGATCTTCACCTGGAACGTTCGTTTCGCACGCATGAAACATTCATGCTCAATTGAGCGCGGCGAGGCGTGGGAGGAGTTGCACTATATACATTATACATCGAACGCGGGGTCTAAAGTGGAACGTACATATGTCCGAGACATCGCGCGTCAAGACGCGTGAGAAATAATTCACGAGAACATTCAATGGAACGCTTCAATTCTTGGAACGCCTCGTTAAATGCCTCCACGTCTCGTTTACGAGTGCCGGGCTAATCAGGGAAGGTAATTAGCTTGATGATACGGAAGCACACACGAGCGCGGAGCCCTCGGGCGTAATGAAGTGAGAAAACGTGATTGTACTTGTGTATTGATCTGTCCTCCGGTGAGGTAGGGATGCGGCGGTAAGGGAGGTCCGGTTACAGGCGCTCGCGTGCTCGGTATGTTGTTACTGGTATCGTGTTCGTAATGATGGACGTGATGGTGTTTGTGATCTTTATGGGCCTTGCCCGCGGTCAGGGCGACGTTGTAGAGTTGTACCATCGTCAGTTCTCCTAAATAGCCACCGGAACCTGGAAGAGGGTAAACGTTGGTCAGTGGACGCGCGTCACGATGACAAATCACGATGTTATTTGCATAATTCAGTGTACAATTAATCCGCTACTCTTTAGAGAGCGAAATCTTATAATTAATAAATAATTGAAGGGCTGAAAGGGCGAATACGCTGTATCCGATATTTTTTAATTTTGTAGGAAGTAAAAAATGTTAGCTAATGCACAAGTAAGAGATATTTTTCCATTAAAATATCACTTTTATAAAAATGATAATTGCTGTAACGTTTTTTCAGCGAGCTCTTCAGTTGTAATTTTTTCAAAATTCTTTCCAAATTATCAATAAAAAAGATTCTTACCCGGTGGCGCGCCTTCGCCCTCTAAGAAACCGCCTCCCAGCTGTCGTTGCTCCTGCCCCGAAATGGCGATTCCGCCGCCTTTGATAACGTGCCCGACTAGCTGAAGTAAGCACGACAATGTAAATTCTCTTTTGTGCATATCTGATTAACAGATTATCTAAAAATATATCTTTATATAATCGCTCTTTTACTCGCCAGACTAATCGACATGTGAAATTAGTCTGCAGGTTCTGATCTAATGCCGATCATTTGAAGAAGACCCGAAAAAAAAACTAGCGGTATAAGCCACTGGGCGCAAATAGAATGAAAGCTCCGGATTGTGTGTCTCCTGTGTACGATATAACGCAGTGGGATAGATTGCACGTCCGCAGCCGAGCGGCGTTATATGGAAATTTAAATTGGTTTCTGTCCTTTTTTATTTGAAAGTAACCTTGGTATCCACGAATGAGAATATCGCGATATGGAATTCTATACCTTTCCATTTCCCGTTTATTCTATTTCGTCGCCATTCTTTCCCGTTTCGTTTCTGTCCGACGCAATCTAAATGCGGGAAGCCGCTGTCTTGACAGTTAAACTCTCATACATTTTAGAATGAAATTTTCGTTACCAATTAATATTTGAGGTGAACGACTACCTTTGCTTCTCTTAATTACGGCAATGTACGCCAGAAAATATGTGTTGCACGATATGAGACACGGATAAATTTCAGTGCATTATACAGATGAGTAGGCGACAAAATGTGATATCCAAAAACACATATTAAGTCGACAAAATTGCGGCGAGACACTCGCGAACGTGTCTCGTGTGCGGGAAATACTGGAAGCTCATTCGTTCGAGAAATTCTTGGCGCATTTAACATGAACGATAATTGAGACGACTACAACGTGGAATCCTTATGCAACTACGTGATATTTCCGTGCGAAACATAGTAGCTTTCTTCTACTGTTGAATAAAATGTTACTTTTTTTCTTAAGCTTATACTTATAACAGTATGTTTGAAGAATCTATTTTGAAAAATTATAATTATTAATTATAAGTTTATTTCAAAATCTTGATGTAAAATTTCAACATGTGGAATAATTTGGCAATACCGAATATTTCATCGGAAACAGTGCAGTTATAGACACCGTACAATTAAATGAAAATCTTTCATTCGATGAATTGCTTTTTAGTAAATATATCCAATGGAGCATTGAAACTCTTTTAAAATTAAGCCAATCCTATTTTGTTCCAATTATCGCAAGGAAACCGAGAAATTAGATAAAATCGGAAAACGATATGTAACTCCGTAGTAAAATTATTAGTGCATAAATTTTTCCTTGTCGCAGTAGTAAAGCCACGTATACGGTCAGACGCGCGTTCTCCGCCCAGGAATAGTCACTCGAGCAGCGGGTATTAACGAAAGCGCTTTTCAACGGTTAATTGACTTCGTATTCGTTTCGTGCGCGCAATTTCATCGCCATTGACATTCGCGCTACGAGTTCACCGTGCGCTATAATTAGCAACGCGTAATCACGAGCGTATCAGATACTCCGATTCGTGCTTTATCGTTAAAAGTATTGATAAAATTTTTTATCTTCGTTCGCGAATGCTGTGTTTAAACAAAATTTTAGTAAAGTGATGACTAATATAATACTAATACGATAGTGGTCTAGTATTTATTAGAAAAATATTTTTATCATTTTTTTCTAAATTAGTATTATTTTGTATATCTTGTATATATATCTTGTATATATATTGAATTATTTTCATTAATATTGCGATCTATTAAAAAGATGGATTATTTTTAAAGATTGTGTAATAGAGTTAAATTTACATTTGAATAATCTTTCATTTTTCTATTATAGAGTTAATAATATAATTATATCATTAACTCTATAATTATATTCTATAATTAATATTATTAATTGTGTGCTTAATCATCGTTGTGTTTCTGAGAAATTTTTGAGTTATTAGTTTCGAGTATTTCTGAGTTTCATTAGAGAAATTACTTATGATGTGCATCTGATGCATTTTACTCGTGACAAGATATAGGTTACGTTTTTTTTACAGAAAACTTGAAAAAGTGTTCGCTCTAATTAAAATCAAATGACGATTAACGGTTGCGTGAGCAGGATGGCGATTATTTTAGCCACGGAAGGACGACAAAACGCGAACCAGCGATTAACGGTATAATCATAAAAGTCGATTCTACCACGAGAGACAGCCGGTGCAATCTTTCTTATTAGCATACCAAGGACAATGCGCTCCACGATTGCACCGTCATTGTCGGGCTTGCTGTATGACCTAAATTCACCGCGGCACGGAGAAGTGAAATCTCAAGAGATCGACGCGCTTCTTACGCATTATCGGCAATTGTAAACTTCGCCAAAGTCCCGAGAAGTCGCTCACGGGGAGGTTAAAGCCGGGCGTGCTCCATAACAAGTTCTTCGGAATAACGTTAACAACCTCGTTCGATGGCCCTGTCGAATTCGCGTTAGTATAGTTGGGTCCATGTCATTACAAGTTGCGAGAACACGTTCTCGGTAAATGAGAGGCAAATGGCTTTCTCCCGACGGCGTGGCCAGAATTACGTATTTTCGACGAAAGTTTCGAAGTTCTAAGCCACGTGTAAACATAGGTGAACCGAGAAACTTTACAGATAGCACACAGAGCACAGCAGAACTGACGATTTTAAATTTGAGGGAAAGCTCTTTTGACTTAAACTACTGTTTGCCAATCTGTGGATTTTAGGAAAATTCATTATCCTTCTCGTATTTTTCGGAATATTTTACACATCTATTTGTTTATCTAGTCATGTACATATTTATCTATACCGGCTATACCGCTCGTATTGATAAAAAGGTGACACAAGTATAATAAAAAATTAGCATGAGATAATGAAAGAAAATCGACTAAAGTCTGTTAGCATTTAAAAAATGCTAATTTTTGACTTGTATTACTTCTCTATCAAAGCAGCGATATTCTAAGGGCCGGAGCAGGGGGGAGGGGGGGGGCAAAGGCAGCGTAAAACCGTGCTTACCCTATTGTTGAACCCGCGACCTACGCGCTCGTCGTTGACCCAGATCTGCCATTCCCCGGTGCGACCGTTCCAGCTCTGGCAGGAGTGGTACCACTTATTAAGTCTCAACGGATAATTCAATCTGTACAAGTTATGACCGTTGACGTTGAGCATGTAGTACGAACTCCTTGGTGTGTTCGCGATCCACGACAGTATCCCCCGTGGTTGGTCGCCGACTGAAAGTCGAGGGTGTAAATTAGCCTGTCCGCGCGACGGAATGAGGGAAAGAGGAAAACGGGCTTTCCCGTGCGCGCGAGTGGATGTAACATTCTCCATTAGGGACGGTAACTGTCGAGAGAATATACTAGCAGTTGTACACGCAGACACATATATGAAATTCTGTCGGTTTCAACCGCGTTTCGTGCTTTCGGACGCTTTCGCTCCGGAACAGACGGACAAAGAAATATGAAGTACCTCATTTTTGTACTTTACGCTATTTTGAACTATAGTACTTAATTTTAAATTAACATTTATATGTTATTGTTTTTTATTGTTTTAAAATCTTTAATAAATGCTAAATATTAATAATTTCCAACGTGCAATATTCATTATTTTATTATTTAATAATAATTTATTATTTAATATTTTATTTTATAATAAAATTATTTAATAATATTATTTAATAATAAAATATGAATATTACATATAAATAATAATAACATTATTTCATATAAATAATGCAATAATTTATATAAATAATAAATTAATTTTTAACATGTATAGTACTACATATTATTATAACATCTTTTTTATGAATATAAATGTTTCCTTTATTATTCCACACACATGCTTCTAAAATTAATATAACTTTTAAATCTTGGCATTATCATTCCTGTAACAGATTTAAAACTTATTTTATTACGTGAGTAATTTTAATTTGATAAGTAGTTTAAATTAATAATTAAATCATCCTCTGCGTATAAGGAATATAAATAACTATCTGTGAATTACATATTAAAGGTACTTCTATTTCTCACTACAATATAGTTCACTTTCAGTATATCTATTGATTCTGGAAGCCGCGAGAAGCGTTTTTAGACATATGCGAAGGTAGGAACTTATTGTTGGTGTATTTATGATACCGCGCGCATATCCGCCTATTGTCACGCACGCCTGCACCTAGGGAAAAAAAAGAAAAAAAACACGAGTGTGTGTATGTAGGTGTACGTACGTGTTGAACTTTCTACCGCGGTACAAAAAAGCCACAAACCGCGCGGAACCTTTCTAAACTGCATATTGAAAACTTAGCCGGACAACGTCATTGTTCGCACGCGAATAATAATGCATGCGGGCGTAAATCGATTCTTACGACGACGACGCGACGTGAGGGACATGATTGTGATTTAAGCTAATCACTGATCTGCGGTAAGAGAGAGTATTGCGTGGGAATCGATTATACAACCGAGTAAGACCGTTAATATCGCGTATAATTGAAAATTATATTTTCAATTAAATTTCTTTCAATATTTACAATAAGTTATTTGCTATAAATCGCATATAAATATCGCATGATCGAAATTTATTGATTGTGAGTGCATTTTAATAAAATTTTATTTTACATTTATTAGACACGTGAAAACAATCGCCGTTTCGTATTAAAAAACATTATTATATAATGGATCTCGATAAGTGTACGAGAACGAGTTTATTAAACTTCAGATATTGCGAAAAGTGGACCCGTTATCAATATTTACACGTTAAACTTTGTGACTTTTTTTTAATTTTGTTAAAAAAATCCCCCGTAATTTTCATGAGAAAAATAACCTCCGCGAGTAGAAAATATTATTTATAAATTTTAATAATTTTCGGACAATACGGTCGGCGGAGTCATTGAAAACAGTCGTTGTTTGCTCCGTGTATAAATATCGCGAGCAATGCACGTTCATTTTTGTAAGTGCTCACAATTGAATGCGCCGGTCCGTTCATTTGCATGTTTATTGTTTGCTTATCCGCAGTTTCCGCTGTGTTAGTAAACAATATATTAATTATGAGGAAGTAGGTCAACGGTGAATTAGTGCACATGGTAGAATTCGTTAATCAAACACACAACTTGCGCCGCAATTTAAGAAGCGCGAATTTTTCGCTGAGTTTTTGTATCAAGTTTTCAATATAGAAAAAAAGCTCGATTTCTCGCACTCGAATGACCGGAATATGTTACGCAATCATTACAAATTTGTTACTTTATTTCTTGAAAAATTACTCTTTAAAAATTTATAACACAAATGAGCGAGAAAAGACTTATTCGGTCAAATAATGTGCAAAAACTTTTTTGGATATTCAATTTTAATGACAGATTTACAAACGTCCGAACGACAATTTATAGCGAGCAATTTAGGGGTAAACTTTACTATTACAAATTTCAAGTTTAAATGATCAATTGTATAATATTCAAATTTTGCAACAAACACAAAGATCTACTTTTAATTTTGTGCTAAAGAAACAGCCTTTAAATTATAATTGTACATTCTCGCGTATTACTGACACGTAAAGCTAATATCAAATTACAGTTGATTTGCGAATGTTTGTAACACATGTTACGCGATATAACGCGCGATACTTTCGGCGGTAACACGCGGGTGAACTTTCTCTTTCACATTCGATATCGTTGAAAAGGTTAAAAGATGAAAGGAGAAAGAAACGTGCGCGCTTATATTTCGGGTGCTCACTAACCTGCGTAAGAGAACAGGGGATGGTCGTTGGAGTGATTGTGGAACTTTGTCCACATGCAGAGAGTGAACTCCTTCATGTCCGGCAAGTCTACCTTGTAATGGATGTACTGCAAGATGAAGAGATATACACATATATATATATTGTTATACATATACTGTTAGATCGCATCAGCGAGCAACGGCTGACGTTGATTTCGGTGTGCCTATCGCGATCCGAATTGTCAATGCACCTGCACAGTCCGCTCGACCCGGCGCGCAGCGCGAGGTTGAAGATTAATGCGCCTCCGTCTCCCCCCCCCCCCTCCGTGCGATTTAATCGCTGGAATGTGTACTCTACCGCGTGCGCATCACTCGCATTATTACCAGGCCTTACATTATTAATCGGCGCGCATCGATCCCCGCGACTCCCACGTTTAAATGAACGTTAGGTAAACGTGAGCGCGAACGCGAGCGCGAGCGCGTTTCCCTCGGGTGCAATCGAGCGGGCGTAATCGAACAATCGAGGCACACGAGAGCACAACTCGTTGTTTGATTCGACGTGGATGATTAGAGTTTGATGAGAATTTGAGTCACATCTTCGCGAGTATCTGTCGCCGAACGATCCGTCGAGTCCCATCGTTGCCGAATAGAATCACCTTGTTTGCGTGGTGGAGAGAGGAATTATCGCGAGAGCATTGGAAAAGATGTTTATTTTATTGCGACGTATACATAAATTACATATATTTTCCTTTAATTCGATGCACTACAATGATCATCGCGCGCGTCTAAATTGGTCGATTATATTGGGTTGTTTACGTGGTACACACGATCGATTGAAATTTATGTATGAACAGTGCCCCGCGTTCTGGGACATACATCGAATGTATTGATGAACAGTGCATACACTTCGTGCCTCAGGCAGTGAAATTGCTTCGTGCGGAATCACGGTATAATAATTGACAAGCAAATATCGTGTTCGAGACTATAACTATTTTCGAGCAAACACGAATAACGATTAACGAAGACATTAGTAAAAACGCATTTTATTTTTCTAAGAAGCAGCATTGCACAAGGATATACCTACTGAGGAAGTGCATATACTTCGTGTCTTAGACAGTAAAATTGCCTTCTCCAGAATTATGACATAATAATTGACAAGTAAATATCGTGCTTTAGTCTATAACTCTTCCTGATGCGAATAAAACACGAATATGTTGCAACAAGATCGAAGATAAAAACATATTTTATTTTTTTAAGAATGTTATAAAAATTGCAACATTATATGTATGTTAAATAAGACAAAAATTTTGAAAATATCTACATACGTTATTAAGTCGTTTAGGAAAACATATTTCGAGTTTTGACTTTATTTGCACATTTGCATGTTTATCTGCATTTTTATCTTATGTATTATATGTTTTTCGTTATAAAAACAATTTTTTATTTATTTATATTTTTCAGCAGAGATATGTGCGTGCTAAAATATGTTCTTCTAAAAGTTTTACGATGAAATTATTGCGGTTTACGCGGGATATCCGTGTTTCAATTTTTTATCTTCAAAGAGCCGTTTCTTAGATTATGTGTTCTTCATACAGCTTTCAAAACCGATTATTTTCGTAAGTACCGTTATTATTATTCACGTCCTTTTTAAAGCGAAATAGGGACACATTCGTAGGAATGCGCGCTTTTTCGTCGGACGATTGCATGAATTCGCAGTTAATCGATTACGCGAGTTGTCGACGCGAGAGAGGCGTACAGCCGCTTCTTGCGCCCGTAGTTTCTCTTGGACGAGGGGAACGGATTTAGCCGAAATCAGCCGCGCAAAGTCACGACAGTGACGACCACGATCGAGATTGCACCGTGCGCGCGGCGCACGTCCAGTTTCCTTTTACGGTCGTCAACTCGCATGAACTTCCCCGCGCGTTATGTACCACGGGCGCGCGCTATAGAAATACGCGCGTCACCGCGCGTTACGTTCACCGGCATCTGACAGGCAATGTTTCAGCCGACCTCTAAGAGGCGACCGTAAATTTGACGAGCGGGATGAAATATTCAATCGTGTACCACGGCGATACTACCTCGTTCAATTTCCCTACTGTTTGCGTTAGGGTGATTTGTACCTGCAATCCCCGTGACTTATCGACACGTTGAATTATAACGTCACACGATCAGTCTTTCGCGCGTTTCTCCTTTCGGCAACTAGAAATTATTAATATTCGTAGAGAAAATATCGTGTGATCGAAGCACGCATCACTGGTTAGACACACGTTTCAATTAGTTGCGGCGACGGGTTTAGGTACATTAATTCATTCACAGACGAGCGCTCCTCGTTAGCGCAGCGTGGCTCGATCAAATAAGAAAACATCGAAAAAACAACTCGACGCCTTAAATAGCGATCTCGCATTTATCACCACGCGGTACTTCCTATATACGAAAGCGCTTCCGCCGTAATAGATCGATTCGTTTCGCCTCCCGTATTTAGCTCCGCTGCTGCTGCTGCTGCTTTTAGCGAAACGTATCGACGTTTCGCCTTAATGTCGCTCTCGATTTTCTCCGTGTGATAAATTCGCAAATCGCGTTTCCACGAATTGGCGGCAGCGGCGCTTAATATCCCGCGCTGGTATTATCGACCGTCACGAGAGGCGTCAGCGCGGCTGTTAATTGTGACGGGGAATGAAGCTGATGAGCGATCGGGGCGATAGGCAACCTGCCTCTGGGGAAAATGATCACGTATTAACGATCGTAGAAAGTCGCGCCGGCAGGTAGACCAGGAGGCCTTTGTTCCGTTTGCCTTCGAAATCCATTTACGATTCGCGATTTCGCGACAGTCTCTTTTCCCCCTTGCGCACCTGCGACTGCAATTACGCCCGCCTGGCGTCGAGTCTGGACGACGACGCTCTCCGACATCGGATATCATCTTGATTCAAGTAGTCTAACGAACACAATGAATATACTGTGCTCGCGCTTTCCATCGTAAATTTTTATCACATCGATCACATTCATTTATTTTCATTACTTTTCTTGAAATTATCCAGATGGAAGTTTTAATCAGCTATATATCTTTTGGCATTTTTCTCATTCTTTCAAATTATTATTTTGATCATATTATTATTATATAAATTATGATGCGTTGCATTATATATTGTAATATTTTATTTACGTTTATGTCAGATTTTATTTATAATGATAACTTTAACCTTTTAATCGTATTATAAAAGATCTGCACATATAAACGTTTTCTTAATATAGATATTCATAAAGTTAATAAGTCTTATACTTTTAAAAAGCGTTTGTCATATTTATTGTTTTAGATATTTCAGTCAGCACTTGGATAAACAGCAAACATAAAGAGCCATATTTTTATTTGAATAATTGTGTGTTTTTATTTTAACTGTCACCAAGAACGTTCACTTATTAAACAGAAACCTGTGCAGTCATATCGGTGAAGGCCGTTGATATTACCATTCTAAACGAACCGGAGTAATTCAACTTCCTTTCTCCTTAAATCAATAATCTGTCATCCGTATAACATAAATATCTAATTATAAGCTGTCAACGTGAACGTAGTATCTTCATATATCTTATCGTAGTAATCGGCCCGACCGTCAAAATTGCTTTTATCGTGTTTATATAACTGGCAATCTGTGGATATCTCAGCATCAATGCGATATCGCATTGTGATTTCTTATACCTTATAATATATAATTTTACATCGCTGGATAATTTATCTTCATTCGCTTCCTCACAATCAGTGAGCCTAAAATTTTCCATCTCTTGAATTTCCTGGCGATTACACAAATTTACCCGGGAATATTGCCGCTGCCGCATCAGACGAGCAAGTAATTCGCCTTAGATGGGAACGTTCACTTTCTCGTCTGCTGCGTTACGTTGAAAACGAAAATGTAGAAGTGCACCTTGTGCATTTTGCCTCTAACGAACCGTACGAAAAGGCATCATGACATCTGCAGCTAGGGGAATCGGTTGAAAGACAGTCGCAGCGGGATTTCGCCGTTTTCGGAATCATGGCGATTGATAATAATTCAGAACTCGTTTCGACTCGCCCCGAGGGGATCGTCCGGTACGCCGCGAGAGAGCGTTTTCTCTTACTTTCTGCGTTGGCCGCAGAACGCGTGTCATTTCGCTTGCGTCGCGGATCCCCCGGTCGGTGCAATGCCAGGTTACACTCTCTCGAGCGTAAAGCGCGCTTCACGTAGCACGTGAACGAATTCCGTGTTAGTCGCACACGAGACGCACAGGTTGTTGCTATGTGGATTAAACACTGTTAGTCCCGTTCAATGCCCGATAAACAACAAGAAGGAAGAAAAAGAAGAAAACAAGAATTTGGGAAGAAGAAGAAAAGGAGGATAAGCAAGAAGAAAAGTATGAAAGCGGAAGAAGAGGAAGAAGAAAAGAAGAAACACGAGAAAGATAAGAAAGAAACGGCGCGCAAGATGTGAAGAGTATTGTTTGTCGGCGATGAAATTGTCATAAATTCTTTACAGTTTCTTTAACATAGACACGCACTTGCGCACTTCGCCGTAGAAAATTTTCTAATTGGAAAAAGTTTAGAATTTGCCAAAGAGTATCAAACGTACAATATTTCAATGTATACATATCAAAATACATATTAAATTAAAATAGGATCCATCGCCATCTTTCAATAATCACAAATTATAGAACAATTATTTTCATCGATGAATCGTAACGATGAGATCGCATTATAATAAAATTATGCATCAAATGATGTCGGAATTATATTATAATTAGCAGTCCGCGTTTCTCTAACTACATTACCCAATCATCGTTACGTGTGGCATGAACTAATTTATATTAGGCAATGGCGATTGCAATTTATTTCCAGATGTATTATACACGTGTAGATATACAACAATATCAATAACGCGAAACTAGAACAAACACCGTTCTATGGCTTGGATAACGAGCATCCTACATTGCATCCTATATTCTATATCGATCATCCGCCCGCTATGATCATTCTCGTTTCGCGCATATTTGTGAGCGATGCGCGTACGCGATTCGAAATGCCCTACATTTCACAGGATTTTTTTTCTATGTCTATCAACATTAATTTTGCTCCGAGCTAGTAAATACCGAGCTAGCAAATTACCAATTTAAACTATAACGAATATGTACCTCGATGGAATATTAATTAATAATTTTGCTTGCTAAACTAAAAAAAATTTTTCAAAAAAAATTTTGTCTGTATTTTGAAACACAGATTTTTTTATTTCTGATGATAGAACTGTTTAAATTTTTGATCGCGATTTGCTTTTTGTTCTACCGTGTTTGTAAAACGTGATCTCGGCGAAAACATGTACTATATTCGATTTACGATATAAAAATCCATCGTCATGCTCGGTGACCTACCTCGAAGTACAGCTGCTGGTTCATGACAACTTTATAGAGGGAACACGTATCCTGGTCGTGCGGCAGCAGCAGATGATGAGAACTGTCCACATCGTAGAGCGTCTGCGTAGGCGCATTTCCGAAAATCGATGCCTCTTGATGCAGTATACCTGCACCGTCCGCGTGGCTCGGCACGATCGGTCGCCAGGACGACGAGATCGCCTGCACCTCGCGCGAGAACGCAGCGAGAATAGCGCACGCAAACAGAATCGGTGTCATCTTCGGGCGGCTCGTTCCTCTCGAGCTACCTGCGAGTTGAAAGATCGTATTTGCTTTTATCTCTCGGTTTCGGACTCCGTTAATTATTTTGCCGACTGACAAGGAATTCGGAATAGCGAGCCTATTGTATTAAATACTTCGCCGTCCAGGAGGCATGTGTTTTCACTTTCTGTCCTGTTTTATTTGAAAGTAACGGTAGTGCAATGTCATTACGTTTACATATGTCGCATGCGTGACTCACATATTATATAAAATTCGATTGCCTTTTCCTCGAATATCCTTGCGCACAATAAAGCGCATAGCGCTCTCTCAGATTGGAAAAAATAGAAAAGAGAAATGAGGGATGGTTTTCATACTTCTATATAAAAATTAAATAATATATCTTATATAACACATTTCCAAGAGATATTCTAAAGCCGTCCTAAGAATGTCCTTTAAAATTTGCTGTTTGGGAATTAAGTATATACGATATATAATACACAATAATTATAATATATAAAAATTTATTATTATTAATAAAACTAGTGAGATCAATCGTAGGCGAACTCTTACAGACACTAGTCAGCGATATCGACGTGTTACGCAGTCGGCGGGCTTCTTCGCTCGGTTAATTATTATAATCGGGAAGTTTACGATTGTGCTCGCGATATGTACAACCCCCCCATATGTGGGGAACGGATCCCAAGAAAGTTACGCTGGAATCGAGTTTCGATGGGAACGAAGTCTACCACGACCGCCCGCCGCCGCCGCCGTCCGCGTATAATATAATGCAGAAAAGAACGGCGCGCACACACGCAACGGCATCATTTTGTTGCGAAATTTAATTCAGGCGAGCGTGACGAACGTTGTACCGCTTAAGAACGCAGTCGACAATAATCCCCTTTTTTTCAAACGATATAACATTTTTATCTCATTACGCCGCGGTATGCCGCGGGCAGCCTCGCGACGAGACCCAGATACGAGATGCAGATATCACATCTGCATACCTTCCACACTCTTTTCTCCTCCGATATGTATACTTGAATAATTGATCGGCGCCTTCTGCTAATTGCGCCCGATCTCGGACACTCGCTGATGAATTTGTGTGACGCGGGGCTATATTTCTTACATGCTTAATTCCCTTACGCAACGTACGCCTCTGTTCGTAAAGCCGATGGTGCGCGTACAGGAGATAGCCGCGTGAAGAAAAACGGCGGGAATAAATTTTACGATTGATATAAATCGCCGTTAATGAAACCGTTGCTTCTCGACAATGCACCGTGTCCGTAATGCACTCCTAATGATTTTCTAATTGCACCTGCAGAGCACGCCTTCTCGGTCTTAAACCGCCGACAATCAAGTCAGGAAATCGTACAAGAAAAAACAGTCTCTAAATCGGCAAATCAAATTAATGTGCATGTTAATATCTTATCGTGCAAGCGATCGTATTAAAAGAGGAATTTTCCGTTTTACCTCGATTGCGAGCGGTACCGGCACAGCTGCACACAGATCCGTCAAACGGTAGTGTTAACGGAACCGTGTAACGCGGGAGTAACGCAAAGCACGACGGAAACTAGCTCCCGACATTGAAAGGATCTGCATATCTCGCGGCGAACGTTTGCTTTTAGATTCAAAATGATAATTGAGGCCTGTCACGCTTGAATAATTGTGCTTGATTAACTACGCTAGAAACTCGAAGCTAAATGAAATTGAAAGTTGAAGTCATATATTAGGTGGAATTGTCAAGCGCTGCCACAAAGATATCCGTCAGACTACAAATGTTATAATCAATTTTTATAATTACTATTAGTTTATTTCACATGTGATAGGATTATTAATAACATAGTAATAATTTGATAGCATAATTATACCTAATTATTATTCGGAATTGTTTTGATATAATTTTACAACAATGATTTTATCGAAAATTTCAAAATTGGTGACAATTGCCGAATAATCAGAAATATTTTATACCTACTGATTCTGTCATTATTATTTATTAACATAAACAATGCCGGTCTATTATTTTAATTAACGTCGATTCTAAATTCTTGTCGATGTGTAACTCTGTGCACTCTAATTAACTGTAAAACTCTCGTTTCTATAATCTCTCTATGTCGTTGCTTCTTTGCTACTCGTGTCAGCGCGCGACGTCATTCTCATCTCGCAGTCATTAATGCAACCGTTCACTTTGTCATAAGAGTATCCCGCGTAGAATGTAGATTGCCGAGTGACTTTGTAACACTATCGTGACCAAACAAATTGCGATCAACAGTAAAAGCGACCAAAGCGAAAATTAAAATGCAATGCCCTGAATACTCCAGCGACATTGAAATGTACTTTGCATGAATCACGCCAATCTCCTGTCGAATTGACGTGTATTAAAATATCTCTTTTATTAAAAAAAGAATGAAAAACGTAATATCGCATACACTACTCTACTTCTTACACTTGCATAAAACATAAGTAACATAGAAATGGTATGGTAATTCGCACACAGACATTATGCATACAAGCGACGTAAAAATAAGCGCATTGAGGAATTAAAGATACATGTTAAAAAACACTAGGATTTAAAAAGAATGATGTTGTTATTAAATTGTTAAAATACCAGATTTTTATTCAGAGTATCACTCTGCAAGAGACTGAAGCAGAACTGATGTCAAACATATCATGTAACAAATTAGGCAAAATTTCTAAAATATATTCTGAATAAAAATCTTACAGTAATAGTTTAAAAATGAACGATAATACAATTTTTTTTAATCCTAATGTCTTTTAAAGTTATAACATGAACCTTCAATTTTTAAAGTTATAACATAAACCTTCAATTTTTTAATGCGTTGAATTTTTGATATTTTTTATCTTTGCCTTATCACGTATTAAATAAAATCGACAAGCATAGGAGGCACTTTCGTAAAAAGTTCACAAAGTCGCACAGATACCGCAAAATGACATTCCTCGAGCATTCAGAGGGTTTAAACCATCTCGAAGGTTGAACACACTAAATCCGCGTGTCAGTGTCCGTCAGTGAAACACGGAATTTCGGGTATCGTTAAGCGATCCAGGCACTTACCCAGAGATAATGATCACAGTCGAACTCGGCACTACGGAAGGAGGTAGATCCTCGCGGTCTCAGAACGGAAAGGTAACTGCCCGCTCGTTGAGCTCGCCGTGGATCTGGTAAGCTCGCAGGAGGTGTATGCACCTCTCCTACCTGGGTGTTATACCTTTTGCCTCGCGAGCCTTTTGCTTCGCTCTTTCCCGTACGTGCCGTCGCACGTTGTCGTCGTAAAAGCGACTCTCACGTGTGTGCATCGAAACGTCGCGCGTTGCCGGCCGATTACGTTTACCAAATCGTTTGTTCGTCCATCCATACGCATGTGTAACATAACGTGGACGCCTTAATAAAAGCGCAGAAAATGCACTTTGCAATACGTTAGTCTTTCACAAAAATTTAAGGTTCTATTTCCCTATCCTGATTTTTTACTCTTGCGAGATACGTATTATATTTATATTTTCAAAATTGCTAAATGATTAATCTATAAATGATATTGATATATATATATATATGCCTATGTACAATATACAAAGTAAAAAATATATAAAATTTTTAAACATTTTTATTTATAAAATTATAAGTCTTATAAATTTTGAATATTACTTAATTTATGATAAGTTTGATATTAATTTTGAGCACAATTGTTATACCTATATATATATACTATAATGAGCACAGAGTATTTTCCTTTTGAAAGAAATAGCTTATTGATTTAATGACTATTAGAAGGGCAGAAAGTATTAATTTAACATCGTATTAAGACAAGCTATATTTTTAAAATTCTATAAGTTTTTTACATAAAGTTCTTTTTATCGTGTTGTACAACGTGATCATACTAATAGGCTAGATCTAGATAAATAACTAGAAAGTGGAAGGCGAGGGCGGCCGACAGGCCTTCTTGCCCATGGTCCAAAAAATGCTTGGGAACAGGTCAGCGGGTAAATTCGTTCGAGCGTTCGCTCTAGAGCGGCGAACGGCACCTTGTGATTGACGCGGATGATTGTCGCTCGCCTCGTCCTTGAAGAAAAATGCCGAGGATTCTGTAATTTGTAAGGCATCAGACTATATACATTAGAGATTGAGGATTGCGAATTGGAGATTAGAATTCAACTTATTAGAACGAAACGGATTGAAATTAAAATTATCTGATTGGTCAAATTCTAATTTTCAATTCGCAATCCTCGATCTCCAATGCTCAGCTGACACAGACTTCATAGTTTCTAATGATACATTTCGCGGTTATAAAATATTCAGGGTCGCAACACTCTCTGCACGCGATCACCTTTCTACCTGTTTTCTGAAGATTATATCTGTATCCTCTGCCATGTGGGAGATATGATAGATTGCGTGCGGATAAATGCAATAATTATTGAGTAAAAGCCACGCCGGTTAATTTCAAATCTAGCATCGAAACCGTGATACTCTTCAAGTAGCGCGACGTTTTTCTATTTTCCGCGGTTACCAAACGACATGTGATTTCATGCTTATTAAATTCCAAATAATTATGTTGTTATCCATTTGCTTTAACATATCCGATATCTCGTCCTGCTACATAAACGTGCGGAGGCTCGAGATAGGTATTGGCTCGTTTGGCCTTCAGGCTAAACGCCGAAGTTGCGCTGATGTAACGATGCATTTATGCAAGTATAACGCGATGCTGTATAAAGGCTATTAGCTACACTTTTTATTTTGCAGCTAGTATCGAAATCGTTATGCGGTCAGTCGTCCTAAGAGAATTGTTCGTTTCTAATATTTAGTTCTGATATTTTTTATCGACGTTGCATGGACGCGTGAAATTCGATTGATAACGCATGCACTCGTTGCAGTTTATTATTGCTTAATATTTCTTTTTACTTTGAATCAGTTATTACAAGCAAAAGCAATTGTGCAATTACCGTAAAGTATGTTTATATATCATAAGATATGAAAAAGATATGCATGGAATTCAGAATTTTCCGCTGTAGAATGCAATGTAAAAATACTCTGCTAACCGGGAAGAACATTAAATAAGACGCACGTTTGTGATTTAATAGCAATTGATGGAATCTCAAGTTACATATTTCCATTTCACTCGGAACACTTTCACATCTTTTAACCCACAGTCAGTTTTCAAATCACATCTCGCTTTCCACATATTCATTAGTCGAAGATGCCCAAGGACCTTACAAATTGCTGATAAATAATTATGAAAGTTGATATTATCATTTATATTGTTAACGTTTAAATATATTGAATTTCACGTGTAGGTTACATTTACGTTTACGAAACTTCTCTTCCGCAAAAGATATACGTTTCGCAAACGCTACTTTGAATATAAAGCATCTAGAAACAATAGTCTTCGTTTTCTAAAAGAAGTCTCTAAAAATATTTTAGAGAAGAGAACGTATAAATATTTCAAAACGTGACATATAACTATAGATGACCTAAAAATTCATCCTTTTCTCTTGTTATTTTCTTTCGTTTTCCGTAATGTAATTGTTACAAAACTATTATTTTAATATGTATATAAATTCTTGCTTAATCCTTAAATATTCCAACCGCAACTTTCCTGTATCGCAATTATAAGAAGAATACATGGACGAGTGTATGTCAAAAGAAATCTTCGTAAATTAATATCAGGGAGGAAACATTAAATATGAGTCAGGAAGTGTCGAATTGCTTAACTGCATTAGCGAAATGCAGATTACAGTTTTTATCACATAATATACGCCATTACTTAAATATGCTGAAAAACGTTTAATGCTCGGTTGTAAGTAGTCATAAATGCGACAGCGTCATAAGAAATAATGTATTCTACATTCGCTTTAATGTATCGAGTAAGTACCTTTAAAATTATCGCAAATTTTACTATACAAAGTAAAATATATATTTTCCATAACCTTATAATTATTATTTCTATGTCCGTGAAGCAAGAAGATGCGAGTCCAAAGAAATCCAGAAAAAAAATTTATAAAAGATTAGAATAATGAGACGTCGATATATTTTCACGATAAATTAAATAAATATGCAAAATTGACAGTTTCTCGAGTTTGCATATTTTTTTCGTTTCTCGGACGTACGCATTAAAAAAAAAGTTAGAAAAACTAGGTAGCCTTTAATAGTTGGAAGTTTGACAAATTGAAATGTTACGTAGCTAAATCTGTGCTCGAGGTTCGCGTACATTAAAACGAAGAGGCCGTATGTAAGTCAGCTGCTTTTTCGGTTACGTATACACTCGTAATCTCGGCGCGGAGACGGACACGTTTCTCTTCGCTTTTACTTTCTCCGGTATTTTGTATGTTGTATGGCGCGCGTGATCGTTAAATCTGATCGGGATGAGATCGAGTATTGCCATCGCAGTAACTGGGCGCGTGCGGTCGCGCATATCAATCGGAGAGATAATAACAGCAGATAGCACAGCGCTGACAGTGGATAGTTTATTGAATTCCGACGAGAAAGGACATTTGAGAGCGATATACGCATATTATTCGTCCTTTCCATATCCAGGTCTATCGGGTTATTTCCATATATTCGCGATCGATCGCGTGGCAGCCATTATGGTATCGTTTTGCGATTCCGCGGGCGCGTTTCTGAACGTTGTCGCGAAATGAAAAAGCTGCACCTTCCACGGAGGCGAAGGCGACTAACCGGAATGATCCGCGTAATCGGAGATGACAGCGGTTATACATAGGTATCGGCCGGCGATTTACATATCATTACGTTGATCAGACGTAATGTACCAGATAATCCTCCGCGCGCTGTAGATTTCTCGGTTAATCGAAAGTCAATTCTTTCTTAGGCAAATATTGACGAAATTTTAATCTCCAATCTTAATTCTAAGGCTCTTGCACAAACGTAATAAAATTTGTATAACGCAAGCGTCTCAGACTTTTTTTTTAACACGTCGCGCGCTATTAAATTCAAAGCATTAAAAATGAGTTGCCTTATTTTAAATATCATCAAATACGATGAAATTTACAATAGCAGAAAAGAGATTAAATGTAATAATGGAATAATAAATAGAGAGGATAGAATAAGTTATAATAAAATTATTTTATGGTTTTGAATAATATTTAAAATAAGAATATATTTATTTCGTAATTAATTAGAACGCGGTGACTTTGTGATTTCCGTTCCTATTGGATTTATCAAGATATTAGATTTCAAATTTGATTCTTAGAATTTGTAGTTGAAAGAATACTATAGGCGTAGGCAGATCTGGAGCAACTGTGAGAACGCGATCAAGTGCCGGGAATCCAGTCCACTTGACAAAGGTAGACAGCCCCGGAGGTGGCGAACGTGTCGTCACCGTACGTCGCGTTGTGCCGCGGCGGCGACCGCAATCCTTTTTTTCTCTCTCGGTGCTCTCCTCCGCTATAGAAAGTGAGCACAGGCGTGGTGCGTTAGGTGTACAATACGCGAGGGAAAACCGGCAGCTCGTTAAAACGCACGACATGCGAATTGCGAAACACCACGGAATTGATTCGGACTCGCGATCAGATCGGACGCGCGATGCGGACGCCCGCGGCTACTAAAAATCCAAATCCGGTCGAGGACGAAGAGTTTCCTTTCTAGAGCGTAATAGGACTACCGGAACTGTCGCGCGTCGCGCGACGCCGGCGAAATCGATTGTCAAAACCAGACAGCTGGAAGCTGCACGAAAGTCGTCAAATAAAACACTCCTTTCTCCTCGAGCGCTCGTTATGCGTGCTGCCGTTGACATAATGAGCGTAGAAAGACCGATATCTTCGTTACGACACGGAAGGGACAACCGGTTGATAGCTTGGAGATGATGGACGTTGTATAACTTTGAATTTCGATGTGTTCGTCGTTGACAAACCTGGATCATAATGTCAATGCCTGATTACGATAATCGAATTAGCTAGACGATGGTTGGACAAACGAAAACAAAGAGCTGAAGATAATGTTTTATAACCTAAAGAATTGATCTAATTATTATAAAGAATAATACGTCTTGTCCAGTAAGCTTTTAATTAGGCAAATTAAAAATGGTACAATAATGGCAAGAAGAAGAAACGAGAAAAGTGAGATGTGGTTTTGATAATAATTAGTTTGAAATCTTAAACGAGCGATCTTAATGGAGGTATTACG